AAACCATTTTAGGCATGTAACGATAAATCCCAAACACGGACGCACCGGTAGAGCGCAAATCGAACAAACGACGCATTGCGCATGCTCACATGAGCGAGCTCAATGGTCGGTTGATCGCTCACCATTTCACCAATTAAAGGAAGGGAGGAGAAAAGCAGCGATAATAAAAACGCTTGCCATTTTGTGAATTCACATAACCTTGGCCAATCCATGGTCAGTCCCTACGAGCCTGCAGTATTGGAGGCAATGTCTAGTAGAATATCGGCTGATGAGGTGATAGCAGCGATTAAATCAAACAAGAAAATGAAGACCGCTGGTGTCCATGGAGTGGTCAACCTCGAGTTGCTTGGCTACTTCCCTGCATGCTGGAAGTTTTTTTTTTTTTTTTTTGTTTATTAATTTATTTGATAAGGCTCAACCGAATTAACTTTACAGAGCCGAGGATTCTTATTCACTATACAATACATCTTAATACTATAGTCAAAAGGTACAACACAATAAACACTTTATCTTCCGCTATCCAAAAAGCCTCCTCCACCAGAACGGGATCCGCTTCCAGTGGTTTCTTTTTATGGCAGATTTGCCAACGAGGGTCAGAGCGCTTCCATTGCAGCAATGGACGCAAAACGTGGTCAGCACTCACACACTCATCACGAAACGGTTGCTTTCCAAAGTCGACGACGCATCGACTGAAAGAACTGCTGATGAAGAACAATGAGGAGGACCACACAATGTTTGCTGCCGAGTAAACAGACGATCGCGTGACACACATTGAGAGTGGTCTGCTTCTGTCGACAGCCGAGTGAACACTGCATGCTGGAAGTTAGCCAATGTCATTCCAATCCACAAGCCTGACAAAGACCCTACCAGTGCCAAAAGCTATCGCCCCATCAGTCTCTTGTCCTCCATCTCGAAGCTATTTGAAAAGTTGATACTCAGCTGACTGCTGGTGTTTTCAAATGATAATATAATCTTTATCAAAGAGCAATTCGGGTTTAGCCACTCTACCATCCACCAACTCGCACGGGTTACTAACATCATCAAGCGGAACAAGTTCGTTTCCAATACACCTGCCATGGCATTGTTTTTTTTTCCTTTGGTTTGTTTTTTCCGTCGATCTTGTTTTCCGTGCTGAGCACCAATGCTACCGACGTGCCAGGAAGGCAGCTCCCACACCTGGACCCTACCAATCGACCCATCAACTCATGAACCGGGGACCAACGGCTTTACTTCCCATCCGAAGGAAGGCGTGATCAGAGATGTTATGCCTCAGAACATCCCGGCGGCGCCGACTGGGATTGAACCCAGGCCTGCTGGGGTGAGAGGTAATCACGCTTACCACTACACCACCGGCGCCGTTAACCATGGCATTGTTGGACGTCGAGAAGGCGTGCGACAATGTCTGGCATGATGGTCTAGTGTAAAAGCTGCATCGATATAACTTCCCGATCTTCCTTGTCAAGATCATCAAAAACTACTTGTCAGGCAGATCATTCCAGGTCTTCTTAAACAATTCACCTTCTGATACGTTCAACGTTGATGCTGGGGTTCCCCAGAGTAGCCTCCTTGGTCTTATCCACTTCAACATCTTCACGTCAGATGTTCCTCCTCTTCCGGGTGGGGGTATTTTGTCAATGTTTGCGCATGACACTGCCATCATCTATAAGGGTTGTCATCTACCTTGGTCTCACCCTTGATAGCAAGTTGCTGTTCCGTTCCCATGTGGACAAATCATCCACCAAGTGCAACATCTTGATTAGGTCGCTCTATCCACATATCAACAGAAAGTCCACCCTTTCCTTTAAAAACAAGCTTGCCGTCCACAAGCAAATCATCCGCCCCGCCATTGAGTACGGAACGCCAATATGGGAGAGCTGTGCTAAGTGCCATCACCTCAAACTCCAAAGGATCTAGAACAAGATCCTTAGGATGATCCTCAAGAGTCCCCCGAGGACTCGAAATTCTGAGATCCATCGCCTGGCTGATCTTCAGACACTGGTAGTGCGAAGTATGCTCATCCTCGAAAGGTTCAGAGATGCCTTTCTGAGGTCAAATCACGAGATCATACGCGATCTTGCAAATGGCAGCCCTACTTTTGCTCAATAAAACAGATGAAATTATCCTTAATAAGTAAAAAAAATCTCCTTAAAATAGATCGGGTTGCTCCTTAAATGATTGATCAAAATACGTTAAAAATCTTAAAATGCTAAGTAAATATTTAAACTACGCTCCCTAAAATAGAGAAAACTGTACATTAAGCAGTTGAAAATGCTCCTTAGTATACACCGCTTTGCACCATTTTGAAGTGTAATTGTACCATATATCATCGGAAAAGCTGCTGTAGAAAGGTTAATAAGTACCATGAAATCAGCTGAAATGTTCAGTAAATCATTGTGTGCATTTGTGCATTTTTACTGAACATTTCAGCTGATTTCATGGAACCACACGCCACCAACGACCACACAAAATGCTCTCCAGAGTTGTAATCTTGTAACCAGACTTGGAAGCAAGGGTGCAAGTGATTTTGATCGATTATCTTCATCGACTTTCTGTTTCGTTAATAACTCGACGGCAAACACATTCATTGATACGGTTGTTGTTCTGGATGATAGAAGAGCATAGTAGAAATAGTGCGAAATAGGTTAGTGAAGTCATGGCCATCAAAAGAGGAAATCAATGAAGAGAATTGACTTTCACCCCTCTGCTCCTAAGCCCCTTTATTCAGTCGTCGTCTTAGCAATGAAAACAAGCATCGCACCGCTTTTGGGTTTTGGAGTTACACTTGCTGGTTGCAATTCTGCTGTTCGACTTTTTCGAAGGATTACCAAAAAATATGAAATTACTCTATTTTCTGAGATGCTTAAAAGTCCAATAATTCGAATAAAGATTTTTCTAGCTATTCGATTAAATATAAACTACTCGTTTGATTTAGCGCAGTAGAGAAAATAAAAAAAAGTACTAATTTATTTGATCAGGCATAGAGAAAAACCATGACGTGAAATAGAATCATAAATTCGCCGAAAAAATGTTAAGCGTCTTTCTGATAAAGGCTAAGATTTACCAACATGTTGAGAGAAGGAGTTTAACGAGAAAAAATCTAGATAGGGGAGGAGCTTTAGCTGGGTGGACACTGATATTCTGCGGCCTTCCAACCTGTCGCAGAGACCAGTTCATTCCCTGTCCAAGTCCAGCAGCAAACGGGCCGAGACTTTTGCGAGTGCCCAATCATTGAACCGAAGAATATGGGATTGTCCGGTCCGATTTGCTGATCCAACTGCCTATACGTCATTATCATCTTCCAAAGGCTTTAAGCCTGTACTACCATTGGCCCTTTTCAGGGCCACCAAGATTTTCAAAAAGAGTTCAATGTCTGAAAATGTCCCAACAAAAATTCATATCAAAAGGTTCTTTTCAGGGCAATCATAGTCATACTAAAGAGTATAAACAGAAAAAATCTCACTCAAATCCCTATTCCTACACAAAACACAAGCTCCTGCTGCAGTTAACAAATAACATTTATTATATAAGACCACGTAGTCTTACGTCACCATTGCGTACAACCCCATTGGGGTGTCCCTTGTAGTGTTTCCTTCAACTTTGTCTCAGACGTCATTTCGGTTGGAAGTGACGTTTTCGGTTGAAAAATCTTGAAAATTGCTTTTGCGCGAACGGCCGAATCTTAGCAAAAATTAGAATGGCCAATAACAATCAATTTTGCAAAGTTTCAAGCAAATCGGATGGTCGAGTTTATAAACATTTTTTTTTGGTATTTGACCTGGAAATGGTCTAACGTCTTCATGATGGAGGATGGTTAAATTTTAAATTCTCTTACTAGGCGTTGTTAGTGAGTATGCGAACTTTTAGCTTGTTACATACAATCTGCTTTAACTGCCACCTCAAGTGTCAACCTTAAGTGTGATCTTTCCTCTACTTAAGTCACAATTTATCGCAACATTTTAAGTCAAAAGAGGTCGAGAAATACTAAGTTTTTGCATACACCATTAAGCAGATGTTCTTTTTTGATCAATGTGCTTATATGAAATCAAAAAATCTTAGCATTTTGACAGATGCTTTTAGACAAAAAAAAATAAATGTGTTAAGTTAAAATCAACTGAATTGCTAAGTAGATAAAATATTAAAGACACTATCAACCTTATTTATTCATTATGACCACACCAACATCTGGTCACCCCATAATCATCGGTACACACTATTCCTACGGGTGCTCGTGATGGTCGACTATCGTGGTATTACCAGGTTGGGGGGTCCTCCAATGTCAGTTATCATAATCCAGCTAGATTATCGTACTCATCACACGTGAATCGTCTTGAAAGGAAATAAGCTGTACTTTTTTTGAATGTTGTTTTCGAGGAAACAAAATCCGCTCCAAATTGGACCCCCTTAATCAAAGCATCGTTTCAATAGCTACATAGTTATATAGATGCCTACCAGGCCATTGTCGTCGTCCGATTCTCGAGCTGAAGCAACAGTTCCTTACTCCGTTCGTTATTTGCAAAGAAAACACCACCCGGGACGGTAGTGAAGAGAGGCAGTTGGATTTTCCGAAGAAGAAAATGTGTACTTGTTGATTGGAAGCAAAAATGTATTAATATGCTGGCCAGTTTAGATATGTAATGGAGTGACTGAGGAAAGATTAAATCGAATCTTAAAGAGTTGCAACAAACAATTAAAGAACCTTAAATTAGTGCTATGGACTATCTGGATAAGTTGAACCTCTTCCGGCGACGGCGGCACACGTCGTCGGATACGGCCGGGACGGTGACGGTGGCTGCGGCGGCGACAATGCCCACAACGACCGAATCGGCGTCGTCCCCGACGATAACCCTCTCGCCGGCCAGTCCCTCGGCGGGAGAAATTTCCACCAGCTCTTCGGGTGAACCAAGTGGCGGAGGCGTTAACGGGGCCAGTACTCCCCCGGACGGCAAGACGCGGAAGAAAAAGAGCAAACGTAAGCGAACCGTTTCCGTTGTTCCCATTAGCGAGGTGACCGAGGCATCGCTGGAACTATGGCGAACCCTTCCGACCAAGATCCGGCAGGATCCGAGCATGGTGTCGTTCCAGCAGGTCGAACTCGAGCACGCACGGCTGCATGGTGAGTATTGTTTTTGATTTCTTTATTTCCATACAGGGAAAATGGCTCGAATGTTGGCCTATGGATCTAAAGATTGGGCCCATGGATAAAAAATCTCATGTTCTTCATTTTTTCTTAGAACATAGCGTCATTTGGACAAAATAAATGGATATTTTGGCTGCTAGTGAAATTTTTTCGGCCCAATACTAAGGACACTTAGGCCGACATTAGGAACGTTAACCCCACCCACATACCTCTACTTAGCCTACTGTTATTTGGAATGATTCAATTTCCTTTCCGCCATGGAGAAGTTGATTGGAAAACAACGTTTTCAAAGAAATGTAGCCACCACAGACATTCGACGAGATGCTATCTGCAGTTTCTCGAAACCAGAATGTAATAAACTCTGTAACTTGATATCCTTGATGTGGACGTTTAGTTATAACAGCAGCACGCACAGCGATGATGGTGACTGAACAGCAGCGACTGGTCGGCTGCTCCGAGAATGCAAATTGCGCAAAGAAGTGGGTCACACTGGATGATGCATATTTATGTGATGTGCATAACGATGCGCACTTTTCAATGTTTATATTATTGTTATTGCTGGCTAGAGCTGGCTCGTTTGAAAGATGACCGACTCCTGCTGAATTTGGTGTGGCTCAAGACCTTGGCTTACATTCGTCGGTTAAAGATGTTCTCCCAAAAATGGAAAGTCATTCGGTGATCAGTTCCGAATGTAACGAGTTTTAAACATAAATCTAACAAGCAATTGCGTATGTTTCCTTTTTAGCCAGCATACATGGTTATTCGCGAGGTCCCAGCCCTGTCGAAGCCAATTTTTGTACGCTTGAAGGTTTGTAACAGAAACTGAATATGATTTTATAAATTGTAGTTTTATTTTTTGTAGTTAAGAATGCGTAGAGTAGGGTGCTTCATTTTGGGAAAATAATTATCAAACATAGTAGCCATCCCCCAGTTCGATTTGTAACACCAATTTGTAATATATGCCTGTGCAGAAAATGGAAAAGATTGATGAACGTGCAAGCCCGTTAAAATGGTTAAACATCTGTATGGAAATTTTATCGAATAACTATAGAAGATTTTTTAACTCCACAAATATCCCTCTAACTTTGATTCTTGTATCAAAATCTTGTTAAATTTGAAGATGTTCTTCTTCTTTTGCTTTCTTATAGAGCCTTTCAGTCCTGAGCTGGTTAGTCTTTTTAAATTTCAATATATTGTTGCTTTGGCAATGATTAACAAGCCTGGCCTTGTCAGTCGGTTTGGTAACAATACAAACGAAATTAAAATACTTAAAAATGTCAAATCAGGCAAAATCATGACTATTTATATTCCTGTCAGCAACACCAATGTTATAGTAAAAAAAACAGGCTTTTTGAATACTGTTATAGCAACCGCATATTACATTTTTACAGTATTTACCTACACACTTAATCTAGCTCGGTAAAATCTCCAACAGTTTACCTCGGCATTTACTTTTGCTGATATATCTGCAAAACATCTGTTTGTTAGCTGATATCTCAGTTATGTTTGTTAGCTGAGTGTCGGCAATTGTTTTACTGAATCTCAGCAAAATTAATTGCAGAGCTACTCGGCTGTTGGAATCTCGGCGAAAAATTTTAAGTGTATATTTAGAATACAATTTAGAGGTTGTAGTATGTATCGATCTTGATTCATTCAGCTGCTTCTCGAAGAGCTCCTTGACGGAAAGTTTATCCAGGCTATGTTGATCATGTTCTGCTTCTGCTGTAGGTTCTTTATCGATGTGTGAGGAAAGCTGTTCCTTGATAATTCTTTGGAGTAATTCCACAGCTTGCTTCTTAGAGATGGTCGGGTATGGAAATTTCAATACCCGAACCCGACCCGTACTCGACTCATTAAATTTTCAAGAACCCGTACCCGACCCGAACTCGACTTCAAAATACATACCATTACACGTACTCGACCCGAACCCGATAAATTGAAAACTATTTTACCCGTACCCGACCCGAGCCCGATCCAAAATATCCAGCTAAAACTCGAATTTTCGAAATGCTATTCAAAAATTAAAACTATTTAATAACATATTTATTTTCGAGTCATCGTTCGTATTCAGTTTTTTACAGAATAAAGGAGTAAATATGAAAGTAAACATTAATTTCCGCTTATTTATGTGAACGAATGCCAATGTACCTACTCAAAGTTTTCAATGAGAGGTTTGTTCTTCTATAGCGTCTAATATTGCAACCTGTCACTGAAAAGTTCGCAAATTTTTGACACTTGGTGGCATGAAAAACATTGGACGATCTCCCTTTTTTTTAATTTTACACAAATCGAGTAATCTTTTTCGATCAAATACACGAAAAAAATCAGGTTTTGATTTTTAGAATCAATATTTTTTTCGACTGGTTAAGATGCAAATAATATTACCCGAACCCGACACGTACCCGACTTGTTCGTTTATTTTGTTACCCGTACCCGACCCGAGACCGATATATATTTTTTTTAGATACCCGTACCCTAGCCCGTACCCGAAAATTTGAATTCAAACACACATGAGCCGGGACGAATAGCTATACTTCCCTTCCGAAGGGAGACGTGACCAGAGATTTTTATGCCTCAGAAACTGAGGCTTACTTTTTGTTTCACCTGTCACCATATTTCCTCGAACTGCTTAGTATGTTGTTTTACCACTGAATCATAATAGTTTATTACTTTTTGACGAACCCCTTGATTGTTTACTGTTTACAATGTTTTTTCCAGGGAAAAAATCCCGAATTTGAGAAAAGTAAAGATTGGATTCACTCAGTCTATTGGTACTACTCCGAGACTGAATAAAATTTTCGTCAATTTCCTCATTTTCCGGCAGATTTTTTATGTTTTACACAGGAAACCATGAGACAAATTTAACTCATCGCTGCGTTCCTGCAGTTTTGGCGATTATGAGTGAACTAAACTCAAATTTGGGTCGTTCTCATTCGCCGTGCACTCGTCTTTCAACGCTTGGGAAACTGAAATGGGTAAAGGCGTATAAAGTGGACCCTACACGATTGCTTTTATTGACAATAATCGTATTGTCAATACATTCTATATTGACGTCAATACATCGATATTGACAATATTTCTGTATTCACATCATCAATATTATGGTCAATAATTCCCCTTCACGTCACGTGTGGCGTTCGCTTAAGAGCTACCTCATGTTACCCGAAAATCATTCATAAGTCACGCTTATGAAATTCATATATGTTGTTCATATATGCAGCTATCATTTGAAAAGGCGATTTCAATGTTTCGATTTGAATGGTCTGAGGTTTCATTCGAACAGAGGACGGTGGTTTGGTACAGTGTAGATAGAGAAAATCACCAACACATTCATTCAAGCGTGTAAGCAGTGGCAAACATACTCGCATCGGCAAGGAAAGGCTTAAAAGTAGGTGAACATATCTGTACATAGGCGTAGCCAGAGGGGGATGACTGCCCCCTAAACTCAGCAACACAAAGGCTTTCGAGGAAATGGCGTTCGGTGAAATGGTATTCGGTCAAATTTTCCATAGTAATTTTTTTTCGCCTCTCCCTAGCTCGAAACCTGGCTACACCCTTGCTTTTATTGACTACAAATACTATAGATTCCATAGATAAGCAGAGGCACAAAAAGTTTTTTTAACTAGTTCGTTTATTTAGTAGGTTCAGTCGAGTGTGACACTTTGCGGAGCCAAAAATCAATAATGCTGGAATTTACATTTTAAACAGCAGTAGTTCTAGGTTAGTATTGGGTACCAATTACTCGTGGCGGGCTCGAGGTTAATGGGTAACAATTTCGATTGGAAGGAGCTAGGTAGGAAACTGGTTTCTGAAGCCTCCTTCAGATACTACTCTCGGACGGTTGACCAAATCCTGGCTGGGCAGGGGCAAGTAGCACAGAAACAGGAGGATAATAAGACTGGGACACAATGGCTGGAAATTGTTTGGAAAGGAAGGGAGGGTCACATCAAACTCTAACATCAGACAAACAAAGGAATTCGTAGATTGCCTGCATGTGGGAATAATCACGGGTCCCCATTACAACTCTTACTTCACGGAAGGGTTGTCTACCTCGGGCCACTAGGGTATCCAACAGTCGTGCTCTGCGAGGCGTCATTACCCGGGCAATACCAAACTGCGTGATCGATGTCATCATAACCGGTTCTGCACCTACATATATTGCTGTCAACGAGGTTTATTCTGTAGAGATGTGTGTCTAGCGAGTAGTGGTTGGACATTAGTCTTGACATCACGCGAATGAATCCCCGACTTACGTCCATTCCTTTGAACTACGCTCTCGAAGAAACATTTGGAATAATGGAATGTAACCACCGCCCCAGAGGATTACTTGTCCAATCGTTTTGCCAACTTAAAAGAGAACTCTGACGTACTAATGGGAAAAATTCATCATGTGAAATTCTTCTATCATAAATCTCGCGTTGTTGTGTTGGAAAAATATCAAAAAATCTCACCAACGCCCAAGATCACGCTTGATTTTCGTGAACGAAAATCAACAAGCAAACAACTGCGGTTGATTTTGCAAGCTGTGATATCGCACCTCGGAATATCAAGCTAACAAAACTCACCAACTGCGAATCTCACCAAGTTGTGGTGAGATTGAGTTTAATGATTTTTGCTTTACTCCCGAATGCTACCGAAACTTCCATAACGGCTTGCAGCAGTCCCTTCGCGTCTGCCATCGGTGAAGATGAAAAAGAGATAGCAAACGATGCTTTCTCTTTCTAAGAAAATGATGTGCAATGGAATCATTTTTGTGTCGAGTCAACTCTCAGCTTGATCTTTGCACGTTGTGAATAGTCTCGCAATATCAAAATGTAAAATCAATATTAAGCATGATATTTTGTTCCAATATTACGCGTGATATTGCGAGCACATGAGAGCGGAAAAATATCAATTGATTTCTGATTTTGCCAACACTGGTGCCAACCTTTGCGAGAAAGTCTGTCTTCTCATTACCTGGGATTTAGCAATATAAG